AGACATTGTAACATCTGACTTACCAACACCAGACATTGTAACACCTGACTTACCGACACCAGACATTGTAACATCTGACTTACCGACACCAGACATTGTAACATCTGACTTACCGGCACCAGACATTGTAACACCTGACTTACCAACACCAGACATTGTAACACCTGACTAACTAACACCAGACATTGTAATGTCTTACTTACCAACACCAGACATTGTAGCAAATACTTCAGGTTTCTTTGTAGCCTGTTGTATGGCATTTGCTAATGTCTTTGTGTAAGCTACTCTACTCTGCAGCACTTCCAGCTTGAATTGATCATTCCACCTGTTTTTCAGAGAACAGTTCACATAATTGGTTAAAAATTACATTTCAGTGAATGGTTCATTTGGTTTTGTAAATAAATTAAACTGCTTTTATATTGATAGAAAAAAGTGTGAGTTTTCTTTAAAATGTGTTCTCAGTATCCTAATTGTGGGCAAAGTGGATTTAATTTGACCTAACTTTTTTTCTGTGACAAATATTAATTTTAAATTATTAAAAATCATTATTATGCTAAAAATGTTAAAAAAACATAGACATGACCAATTTTATAAGAACATGTGAATCCAATACATTGACACAAATGTTACACTTAGTGCATCTCATATTTACACTGCTCTGTGTATAATTTAAGATCTGTTCTCAAATTCTATCATCCTTAAAAATGTTTATATCATATATATGAATATTCATTTAAATCCAAGTGCGCTTTGGTTTGAATCATGGCAAGCCCATTCTTACTTCTTCTATAATTGTGGATAATGAAATATTTTTTTGTTGTGATCGTAGCTGCCAAAAATCGACAACCATTATGTAGAAAAAGAATGGGTTGTATAAAGTTAGAGTTAAATTTGTTTATATAAATCCTACACAGAATATATTATTTTTAATCATTTAAACCATTTACCCAAAGTAGTCAGCACATAAAATTGACAAGAAGTTGGGTGTGGACCACTGTCTTCATTAAAGTGAAAAAAAAATCAAAAAACCAATAACAAATCAAGGTATCACGAAGATAATATTTGGTAATCGTAGTCCTAAATAACTATTAAAAATAGCTAGACATTTCGAGCAATGGCTCTTTATCGATAGCATAGAAGAAAATGTTAAAACGTACAGGTAGAACATAGGAACGTAAGAACACGCATGAACTATAAATTAGAATCACAAAAAATTCCACAATAGAACAGATAACGCACATAGGTAGTAAGCTCAACAAATGTGTTGAACTGTTTAACAGTTATTTAGGACAACGATTACCAAATATTATCTTCTATATCATATTTATCAGTCCGAGCAGCGTTTATTAATTTATAAACTACTATTAAGGTATCTCGAAGCTGTTCCAGGATACAAGTGTTATATCTTCTAGCTACAGTCTAATCGCAGTACAGACATCTCTTATGTTATTATCTTTTCATATTGATAAGCAAATAGTAGAATAATCTGAATATATTCATTACATGCACAGATTTTTATAACTCAAAGCCAGTTCAACAAGAAATCTTTCTCAGATCCTTAAGTGGTCCAGAAGATTACCAGCATGTTCTTGCTGTGTTTTAACTATGGAACTAGGGTAAAAATAACCATATATGTTGCATAAGTCAACTTTAAATATTTTATAGCTTTATTTTAATGCTTTTAGCAAATCGTAATAAATCAAGTGCTATTATTAGAAAAATACATGTCTACAGAAAATTAAACTTCTCTACAAAGTCACCATGGAAACAAAGAGTTAATTTTACACAAAGAGTTGAAACACAATAATTTTTCCTGATGACATAATAATGTAATTAGTATACTATGCAATAAACGCTTAAATGGGAGCCCCTTCTCATATAGAAATAGTATACATCGTGTGTCCAATATGAGTTTTTTTTACTCCAACATTTTCTTAGATATTGGTAAAATTTTGAAAAAAAACATAAAACAATAAATTTCATGAAGGGTGTAATTTCAACAAATAAACATTTTTTTATCCAAAGATAGATAGATAAATAAATAAATAAATAAATAAATAAATAAATAAATAAATAAATAAATAAATAAATAAATAAATAAATAGTGTTTTCACATGATTTCATCATTTTTCAGACCCAAATATTAATGTTTTTACTCTGAATCACTTAATACGTATATTTGACGTCATGATTTTATACAACACTCTTGATACAACACAATCTGATTTGGTCTCAACTGCTAGCAGAAGCCCCCAATTTTCTTTAATATTTGATGGACTATTTTTTTTCAAATGAGTTTGCCGTGTATAAAATTTGTTTTTAAACAAAACATACAAAAAAACCTGATTGAAAACTACTTAAATTTCAGTTCACTGTCAAAGGTTGAATGCAAACAAACCCTTCTGTATTTTGTTACATGCAAAATTTTCTGAGTTCATCCAAGTTCAACTCTCAATTCTTAGTGCAAAAGTGGTAGTTTGACAGTTCATTGTCAAGAGGTTCATGCCGTATAGGTTTTGAAAAAATTTAATCAAAAATATTAAGTTACATGTCACCATTATTGGCTAGACTCCAGTCTCTTTCATAAATCATAGCTCTGCTTTCATAAAATAAACATGGTTCTTTGATTGGTTTGATTATTAATGAGCTGAATGTCAATTAACATATGCTCATCAATCTAAGTGTTTTGAATTTGAAAAGCGATGAATTCTGATTTTTTGTTCTGATTTAACAGTAAATAAATTATTCACCTTAATCACTTCAGCCTCTAGCTGATAGAGAGTTTTTCTGCAGAGCTTGAATAAATGATAAACTCTCATCAATAGATTAGATGACAACGCTTGTGACAAGCGACTTAAAAACAAAGATGGCAATATATTTTAAATTTGTCACAACATAGAAATAGTACAAAATGAGGAATGGGGAAATTTCTATCAAACATCAATTCTGACCAGTGAAGCAGTGAAATTCATTCGGACATTTTTACGACGACCATTTCATTTTATCATCAACATATTATACACATGGTTACAAAAGTATGATGGTAATCCCATAATGCATCTGGCCCTTCCATCGCATATTTCAAAATACCCGTTTAAATGAGATTACCATAGAATTACCAGAATGCAGATAAGGTTAATTTATTTGAAGGGTCATGTTTGATATGAATCCCAAATGTGACGTTATATTCCTAATTTGAATGTGCTCCCTAAGATGACGACCGCTTCTTATTATTAATACACGTGTTAACACCGTCATTTACAGTTTATATCGGCTGTAGTCATGGAGTTTTTCAGGTGGTGTTGCGTTAAGACCTACAATTTTACCGTTGTTAATTTACGTTCTATTTGAAAAAAAATACACACACGTAAATACAATTGCTATCGGGCTGCACCTAATAAGTATTCTATTTCAAGTGCAAGTTAATATCGTGAATGAAATCGTTACCTTTTCATCGGATTCAGTACATTTTCTCCAGACAGACTAATGACTGCAGAACATGCAGGAAGTCCAGTCGCTTTCAATTCACTCTGCAATGAGAAAAACAAAATAATTGGAAGATTATCACAAAATTGGAAAAAAAATGTAATTATTGGAAACACTGCTGCAAATAGATTGGTGATACAAATGGGTTGTTTTTGTTTTTTCTATTTTCATTGCGTCTATAGAGTATACAATACCGTATTTGCTCTATTAGTAGCATATGCACTTACAGAAATTTCATAGGTGTGTCTGTGATCAATTAATCAATCTTTATTCAGTACTGGGCCGCGACCCATCGTACAATATTTAAAAATACATAGGTAGAGGTGTTTTTACAGAGAAAAACAGTAAAAAAAAATATTGATAAATCAATTTACTTGGAAAGAATGAATAAATCACTAAAATATTACATTTAACTTGTCTCCTAATTATCTCATTTTTTGATTGCTTGTAACAAATATATAGCTAAATGACGAATAATACAAGGCTGGTATGTTGAAAGAAGAGACACCCGTTTTTCAATATTGGGATAAGTACACAGAGAAATTGGTAATAAATCGGCTCTTAAGTCGTTGTAAAGGGGACATTTGAAAACAAAATGAAACTCATTTTCTACAACTACAACTCCAGAGTTACTACAAAAATTACATATTACATGTTCAACTGGCAGCTTCAGATGTCTACCTGTTTCAATGTTGAGTTAATACCCATAGCAACGAAAACTTGCAAGTATGTATTTTAATCTATGATTACTTGTTAATACATTTAAATACATTTCTGGTGCAAGTGCTGTTTTTATTTTCCTATAAGTGGCAAGTCTGGACGATTGTGTAACCTCACTGTGCCATTCCTGCTGGCAACAATCTTTAATTTGTTGGGAAAATAAATCTTTGTCAGTATCCCCAACTTGTCTTTCTACCAGCTTCATCCAAACGTTTGAGCATTGTGTAACATGCTCTCGGTTATCCATTGTTATCTAATTTTAAAAGTTTTAACCAATATGCGATGCATCGCCTAAAATAAATACAACATAATGGCACTGCTATTGACCCATAATCAAAATCTACAAAATTTTACCCGAACACATTCAATAAATTCACTATATTCATAGCCCCAGATTTCACTTCCATAACAACAGGTGGGTACAATCATCGCATCAAAAAGTTTGAAAGCAGCAGATACAGAAATGCCACCCTACTTACTAATTACTGTTTGAACCCGAAAGCTAGATTTTGTTAAGCTGGAGTTCATACCAGTCTAGAATAAAAGTTTTATCCTAAATAGTTGTAATGTTTTACTGTATCTAAACTTTACCAGCATAAAGCCACTTTTCATAATTCCTGAGGAACCCGCCATTACGGAATACTGTTATTTTTGTTTTATCAAGGTTCACCTGCATATCCCAGTGTTGACAGAATAACTCTAACTTATTTAATTTACGTTGTAAATAAATTGGCATGTCAGCTCCATCTGCTACGTCATCTGTATATAAAAGTATACTGACTGATGGATAGTCCTCGGTAACATAAATTCCATATAATTAGCCAACTCGTTAATAAAAATAGAGAAAATAAAGGGGCTTAAAATACATCCTTGCCTTGTTCCCACAGTACAACTAAAATATTCAGTAAGGGAACCATTGAAACGAACGTAAGACTATAGTTGGGAGCACATTGAGCGAAGAACCCTCAAAATACTACCATGTATGCCTTTTGTAATCAATCTGTGCCACAATTTATAATGATTTATCCTATCAAAAGCTTTCGAGAAGTCGATAAATACTATATACATGCGTTCCCCCTTCTTTGATAAATATTTTTGTACAATGGCCTGTAAACTAAAAATATTGTCAATTGCAGAATATTGTTTCCGAAAACCCGCTTGAGCTTCAATAATAATAGCATTTTCAGTGGCCCAATCATAAAAACGCTTGTTCATAATGCTGGTAAAAATTGTGCTTACAATAGGTAAAAGTGAGATGTCCCTGTAATTATTAACATCGAAACGAGAACCCTTTTTATAAATAGGTTGGATAATACCCTTGCACCATTCACTCGGGTACACCCCGGAATTCATAATAGCATTAAAGAGATTACATAGATAATGACATCTAAAAGTTAGTGAATGTTTAAAGAATTGTGGAATAAATCCATCTGGGCCCAGTGGTTTGTTTTCTGCTAACTTGCTTACTGCAAACCGTCAATGGAAATTACGTCATTTTGCAACAAAGGGAGATTAGAATTACATTTTTTACAATTATTATCGCGTTCTTCAACCGTCTTTTGAATACTTAAAGAATAGTCTGACAGTTGGTTGTTTGAATTCTGTGTGCTTAATAGTTCACTAAAATAGTCAAACCATTTAGATGGTTAGTGATCAAAATAAGTAATATTTCAATGATTTAGGATACAACAAAAGCAATTTTTGGTTTATATGTTTTTTATTGGAGATGTGCTTTTAGCATAGCAAAACTTTCTGCATGTCTTTTGCAGTCTATGTTGCTATTGGCCAGAACAAGTCTGATTCTCTATTTGTATTTGCATGTCTTTTGCAGTCTATGTTGCTATTGGCCAGAACAAGTCTGATTCTCTATTTGTATTTGCATGTCTTTTGCAGTCTATGTTGCTATTGGCCAGAACAAGTCTGATTCTCTATTTGTATTTGCATGTCTTTTGCAGTCTATGTTGCTATTGGCCAGAACAAATCTGATTCTCTACTTGTATTTGCATGTCTTTTGCAGTCTATGTTGCTATTGGCCAGAACAAGTCTGATTCTCTACTTGTATTTGCATGTCTTTTGCAGTCTATGTTGCTATTGGCCAGAACAAGTCTGATTCTCTATTTGTACTTGCATGTCCTAAATACCGTTTTTTCTGTTGCGGCTACACTAGATAGATGTTCACCCTATAGAGGTTACAGTTAAAATACAGACTTTACATACTTACATACTGTAAAATACTTAATTTTCGCTTGTAATTTTCACTGAAGGGATGATTCAGTGAAAATAAAATGCAGTGAATATACATTTTTGCTATGTTTTACATTCAACCTATCAAAAATCAGTGAAAATTAACTAATACAAAACACCAAAAAGTCTTTTCAGCGAAAATTAAATCCAGCTAAAATAAAGTATTTTACCGTATTATAAATGTGTATGACAAGTCAGCAAGTGCATAACAAGAATTTCCACAGTCAGCATGGACAAGAAATGGTCATATTGCGTCTCCGCAGTCAGGAGTACACTACAAGTACACTATTCTTTTTTTGTAGCATTAAAGATAATCTCATCATCTGTAGCAGTCCAAAGCGCTTCATTTTTTTTCAGTCCTCGTACCATACTACCAAGTCTGTGTCTCAATTTAAAAAAAAATCTCTACTTCAAATTTCTGCAATATTGTGTCATATTTACTATGAGATGTTGTACTCAGTGGTAAAATTTAGTATTTCGTAACCATTTTGAAGGGCAACTGTTTTGTATAAACGCCAACTTTGACAACATATGTATACGTTGCTATGCAACATAGGAGACCCATTCCAAACACACATTGTTATGATGACAGCATCGCTTCAATTACTGCTTGACAATTCTTGTTTCAGTAAAGTAAAATATTGGACATACCCATGTCATCTTTCCACTTCCTGGTGTCCGTGACAACACAGTGACATCATGTCCTTTATTTAGTAATTGTCTTTTTATGGCTGTTCCAATAAATCCACTACCACCCCCTGAAAACAAATTAGACATTATGGAATTTATGTTGTTGACAGAGGGGGGAAAAACACTAATTTGAATCAATATAAAAATCTGGATATCATGGATATTTATCCTAGAATGCAGTTATGATATTTTCGAAATGTTTTTAATTAATTTCTACAAAAGACGAAAAAGCCAAAAATGCTTTGTTCTTCGCGTTGAGTCTGAACGCATTTTAACTTGTTTATTTACACCAAATTCGATTTAAACCTAAACAGTATTACTAATAATATTTTTATTTAGTAACACACAAACGGCACAGTCGGCGCTTGTTACTAAGAGACCATCTTCGCTAGCCAAGGGTAATTTATTCGATGTTAGGACGGCAATGGATGGTCGGCTATAGAGAAACGGGTCATTCCAGTTTTTGTCCTACCCCCCCATGAATGGTTTAAATTCGAGAGGTGTCATATTTTTGATATATTTAATTTTTTCACATACCCATCTGCATACGTCAAATACATGAAGTTTCCAGGGGGGTGTGTTGGTTAATCCAAATCCAACACCTGAATGGTGGATTTGAATCCATAGGGTGTCATAACCTTAATATCCATCCGTAGGGGGGATGGAAAAAACTGGAATGACCCAACCGTGTGAACCTTCATAATCTTCTCTTGTAACTAATAAAAACAAACCCAGAATTCAGAGTATTCACGAAACCACACAGATTATCACTACGTAACTACGGCACCATTGCACGAACACGTCATTAAGCTATATGTCCGAATGTCTTACCTATGAGAACACGCATGTTTCAACACTTTTGTGTATAACAAGCACTTCGCAGCTATCATCAGCTGGCAATATCAGCTGGTCGGCATTTCTTCGTCAATACTGCGCATGCGTATAATAGTAATGACCACTGCAGAATAACAGATATAAATGACAGACATGGTAAAAAAGCTAAAATTTCAGCAACAAAACAAACAAACAAACAGTTAAAATGCCTAATTCTTAAAATTCTTGGCAGACAGTCACGTGAAATTCTTAAATATTGTTAAATAAGCGATTTTCCGTTCAACAGCGAGTTGTGTGAAAGACGCGCGCCGAACGTCTGCCGCAAAAATCGTAAGCTCACATCGAAAGGCCCATCTTTGACAGGGAAATATTGCGTTTGAATACCCTTACTTCATCAAATATGTAAAGCACATTATTAAGCAAGGAAATATCCCCAAAAATTCTTTCGCGTTTGTCGAATCCCACGCGATGTTTGTCGGCACTACGACGCAATGACCTTTGTTTGTCCTGTTTTTACGTTCGATTTCACGCGGGATCTCGCAGTGAAGGGAAAATGGTCTGTTAAGTAAATATATATCGGCCCAGTAATTGTCATATTTAATCACTGTTTACTGTGATGAACCCCATTTATCAGTGGTCTGATGATGAACAAAAAAGCAAGTAAACCATAATATCAGGTTTTGTTTGAAAAACAGTGAGCTATATTGCA